TATATATATATATTCTGTGGCAGTGTATAAGATAGTACTCGGAGAGTGAGCGGGATCAAATCAAGAACCGTAAACGAGGACGAAAAATGGAAGGCATCGCGACGAGAGTTCAGCATCGCCTCGTGCAAGCTTCCTCGAGTAAAATTATTCTCACGCGGTGAGCTTGAAGGAAGCCATGTTGATGAAACCCAAACGACGAGCTGGGACAGAGTGCACGACTGACGGATTGCGATTAATGTTGGAAAATGGGATGCGAATGTAATATCCGAGGACAGAAACACTCTCCTTAGAGTCATTCTTCAGTATTACCGATCTAGTTTATCATTATGCATTCCTGATGGATCTACGGATTTATCAACTCTAAGTCTAACGATTTAGGAGACGTAATTTGCTTTGGACGATATTAGATAGGATCAACTTTACCTCGTGGGTAACTAACTTTATTCGTAATTCTCTCACGTTTCGAATAGATTCATCAGATTTCTGCCCTATGAGAATTGAGATCTATCATTTTTTATTTTATTATTTTTTTTCTTCTTCTCTATTGTTGTCTCGCTCATTTATTTTTTTATAATTTTGATCCTATTATAATATGTTGAACTTGAGATTGAACGTAAAATCATAATGATATCGGATTAAATGCATAAATATATGTGATTTTTATTCCAACTATTATCCACGTTAGAAATTTTTGCTCGACGTCAGTAGGGAAGACAGCTCAAGCAGATTATCATTACCATTTCGTTTCAAGCAGTAAACGTATAAATATTCAGGCGTACTAGAGTTAATTGAAAATCGTGTTTTATAATTCGAGAAAGCTTCGTGAAACGGTCGGCTTTTCTCGACATTCCACTTTTCGTCTAAAGCGGATTTTCGTAGAACGTAAAACGGGTAAAACAGGAGCGTCGCCTTAGATTCGCTTTGAAAATCGTTTCGGTCCAGCCGAAAGCCGTTTGGAAAGTGCCGCTAAAGCTTCCCACCACCTTTCCACCACCTTTCCACCACCTTTCCACCACCTTTCCACCACCTTTCCACCATCTTCCTAAACAGCCTTCCTCCTGTTTCTCTCCCGTTTTCCTCGTAAAGCAATTTTCCAGGGTGCCACTAGCTGAAATAGGCGTGCTAATACTACTTACAAGCGAGCAGTAAACGTTCGACGCGCATGTTTATATCTATATAATAATACACGTAACGCAACAACGTATACGTTGATTTCATTTTATTTCGTGGTCATTTCCCTTGTTGGAGAGTGTAAATTATCACTGACATGTCTGCAACGAAGAGACTTTTGTTAGCGGCCACTCTAGTACGATTATGAACCCTGGAATGGAGAGCGTTAAAGTGCATCGTCATAAAAAAGGTACAAGCGAGTTATTTTGAGGGAAAATTTTAGGCTCCTCGAATAGACACGTATGAAATTGTTATTTAGTAACGATACGAATTGGCGTACTGTTAACAATTTAACAAGCACGTCATCGAAAATAAATTTCATTTACCTATAATATCAATGTATTGACATTTTATATACTATCACTGTTTAAAAAAGAGCTTGGAAACATTTTTGCGGGTATACATCTAAAGTGCATTTTAAAGCACCCTCTATGTATCCTTCTACTCTGAAATATGGTACGTGTAAATATTTTAGATCTATGTGTAAAACAACCGCGAAAACGTTTCACAAGTTTTTGTATTTTTATTAGCAGAACGTTAGGAAGCGGCTTTAGACTGAAAAATATGTAACTAATTGCATAATAATTATGCAATAGAAACGATCAAGCTTACCCAATGTATGCAAAACTGCACCACCAATTCATCATGGCCTCGGAAAACAATGTCTCGCCGATGTTGTATCGAGTACGCAAGTCGTACTTGCTCCCATCGAGTGGAACGCCGAGCACATAGGACAGCTCTTCCCCGTGTATCGTCTGTTGTCGTTGTTGCTGTAAAATAACGAAGCGACGATATCGATCGATATGTCCCGGTTTTTGTTCCACCCCTATCCTCGTGATATCCCATTCAACGGCGTCGCCGATAATTATACAAGCTTCGAATAACATCACCAAGAGAGAGAGAGAGAGAGAGAGTACATGAGAGAAATCAGAAATAATCATCCGGCCGAGCCATCGCACACCAATCTTCAGAATATTTAAATTAGCAGCCTTATCTCTAGCGTTTGCTTCTCCTATCTACATACATACGAACAAAGTGTCAATTTTATTTATTTAGATTTTCCATTTCGTGTAAGCTCTCTTAAAAATTATATTTGATTTTTATTCAATTCTGAATGATCCTTATCCGCGAAGTATAATGCATATAAAAGTATTGATCTTTCTACTAGATTCATTGAGAAATAAAACACCCGGTATATAAATCCACGCTAGAGACATTTTTCACGCGCGCCAATCCGATTCCTGTCGGTTTTCTCTATCATATCCCCCTTTCTTTCTCTGTCTAGCTCTTGGTATAACAGGAAAACGTATAGGATACGTGGGGTTAGACGCGGGAGTAGACGCGGGGGTAGACGCGGGGGTAGACGCGGGGGTAGACGCGGGGGTAGACGCGTGCGCGCGTCTCATACTTCGATCAGTGCGTTCGAGAATTTGCGACTTTACCGTAACGATACATCGACTACGTCATTGAACTTGGAAATGGAATTCCCCATATTTATGGTGCACGGTACGCCCATACGATGCAAATATCCGTGTCGAAGAGGCAACAGCGGTAACCGAATATGTAATATTTACCGTATTTGCCGTAGGTATTTGCCTGTGATATCGTCCTATAATACCATTTTCCATTGCACAATACGACTCTCATAACGATACCCTCTTTTTCGGAGGGCGAAAGTGGCTTTTTTGTTATTTACTTTTTTATTTTTTCGTTTATTTAATCTCAATACGCGAACGCGAGTAGAATAAATATTACGATTATTGACCGATACAGAGTGTATATTACGTTTAATCCGAGGATAGAAAATATTCTTGTTTCCTTATTCGCGCAAATTATTCGAAAAAATGAGAAAAAATGAGAAAAAATGAGAAAAATTAGAAATGCCTGATATTTTAGAATGTCTAATTGAAGAAGCTAATTGATTTGACTAAAATAAAAGGATCGCTTTAGCGGTTCTTAAACATCTCTATCCAACGCCATAACGCAACACAAATTTGTAACACTCCGGTGATTTCACAAGCGTCTACGAGCTTAAAGAGACCTTTATGCTGATCAACGATACGATCAAGGGTCGGTTAAGTGCACCTACATCGACACCGAGTCGAGAGTGCTGGATAATTTGGAAAATAAAGGACCAGATCCAATCGGAGAATGAAACTTTAATTCTACTTGAAAACAGTTCGACGTTTCAGCCAATTTAGTCTCTGTCTAATAGAAGTCACAAGAACAGTTGGCCTTAACCCAAACAGACTCATAGTTTGTGCTCGTGATTTTCGTTTCTTCGGTTTACGAACATAATGACTATTGTTAAACCATTCAATAATAAATTTAAAAGTGCGAGACAGAGTCAGATAGAGGAAATTCCGCGATCGTATTTTTATCGATTACATTAGATAAAAAATATTTAGTTACCGTGATGCATGGTATAGAGAGTAAGGCAACTTAACGTAAAAACACATTTTTATTCCATTAAGAAATATGTCAGGGATTTTGAAATTTCCTTGACGTCTCCCTTCGACGAACTTCGCCGAACTCTGTAAGTACGTTTAAGTTGTTTTTCTCTTTTCGGTGTATTTAACAGGATGAAAATTCCAGATATCGGTGCAACGTGTGTGCAATGGAAAACAACGAAATAACGAAAATATACGCAAATCTACTATACGTTAGTTTACATTAAAATGTGGACACGCGATACGAGCAATGATTACTTGAAATCGATTTTCATTTTCAACACTCTTCGAAATTAATTAACATATTCGTGCAAGTCCAAGGAGTAGTCGATCTATCAACGTCAAGGTAAGAAGTAACTTACACCGGAATAATCTTGCATAGCCTTCGGATGAGAGAAGACGTACATGTAGCTATTCGGGTTTGCTCTAGAATGTAAATTGGCGGTCATTATCAAGGGTGCGACAGTACCGCTGTCAGAAAGTGCTTCTAGGACCATGTCCCTATTCTTCGTCGCGTAGTCGTCTGTAAATTCGCCATAAAAGTCTCCATAGTGTTCGAGGATCTTCGATAGGACGAGCTCTGGCTCCAGCTCGTGCGTGGCCTGTGAAATTAATTAGATATCCTTATTATTTTTCCAAATGAAATTGTTCATTTAGATCTAGGAACGATAATTCTTACCTTAGCATGATCTCGAAGGATCTCATCGCGTTGATTATCGAACAAACCATGTTGTAAGGCAGTTTGCGGTAGAATGTGAAATTTTTCTGACTCGGTAATGCCGTACATTAAGTCGTATCTGCGCAAGTATTTACAAGTGGACGTATTAGAGATATTTTGCACGAATATACGCGAGATATATTCAAAGCGTGCTTGTTCCCTTCCACCATAAACGGTTCCTATACGATGCACGTTTACGCGGGCGAAAAGGATTAATCTACTGCGCGTACCCACTTGCCGCAATAATACGCGGTAGTACGTAATGCCATGGTAAAAGGTGGCTGCTCTTAAAAGCATGCGATTGAGAGAAACGCTACCAGTATCGTTTTGTATATTTTATCTCCTCTATTCGCCGCCTAGAGAATATATACATCAAATATTTTCGATATATTCTCCAAATATTTTCACAATATATCATATTTTCATGGATTTTAGATCTATTCAGCTGATTCATAAATAAGTGACGCTAGAAGTAAAGAAGTTTGTTACTTTGTAACACGCCACTTATTATTTACGAAACAAACCAATGTAAAATAAAATAACTAACCTGCCGAAAAGTTGTGTGTCTTCCATGAGGTTAATAGGTTTATTCGGTATAACCGCTTTGTCAACGAGAGGTGCGAACGCCGGCACGTATCGCGGCTTGTGAATCTTCACGTTGAGAAGCGTTTCGACATCTTGAAAGCGTAGACAATGCGCCAAATCGCTGTCGTTCGTCGTTGGACAATTCAAAGCTATCGCCACCTGCAAAAGGAAACGATTCCTGCAATTTCTCCCGAACAGCAATGAACATTCCTGACCTATCTCGGCGCTCTCCCAACGATAAACGATCATTGTTTTTCTGTTTTTCCTTTTTTATTTCTCTCTAACTTACTGGAATTTAGATCGTGACACCAGTTTATTCTCTTAACGTTTCTTTGCCCGATGCAATGGAAGAATGGCTTGCATTAGTATTCCTATTCGTATTCCTATTCGTATTCCAATTCGTATTCCTATACGTATTCGTATTTTCGCAGGAAATTTGTGATGCAAATGAAACTCTAATAAATCATTTGGCCATTCATTTACTAATTAAATGTATTTAATCGTTTTTATAAATTACCGAGTCATTTGGATCGATCATTTGAGAGCTTTAAATAATTTCTTAACATAATGAATAGAAATAAATTAATTCGATTGAAAAAAATAGTTTTGATAAATTGCATTTTTAAATCGGAACAAAAAAGAAAAAATAAGAAAATCTCTAATACTTGCAGAATACGTGTATCCTTTTGGTTAAAATGGTATATTCCTATGAAAAGAAAAAATAAATTCTATGTCCTATTTCCCCCCTACGCGAACTTCCTATAAAACTTGTTATTTCTAATGTTGCAGTGTTTGTAAAGATATAAGAGACAGAATGAGAATAAGAGACGAGGAGAAAGCTCGAAGAGTAAAGACGGTGGAAACGCAAAGGCGTCGACCCGTGTTGCACCGATGCGTTTAATTTCGCGTTCGAGATACGTAAGAGACTTCCTAAATCCTCTCATCCCTTTGACGACGACGGGATCAAAGGCGATGAAAACCTTTAGCGGGCCTTCGAGCGAACTCAGTTCTTGTCTCCCTACCCCTACCCCTTACTACGACCCCCTACGTTACACAAAATTTCGCGGATTTTACTAAGGACACCCTTTCATTCCTTTAATCTAATAAACCATTCACCGCTATTTTCTTTCTGTCTAATATTACAACGATATAATGGCGAGGATGATTATCTTTTCTTCCTTCCATTTGCGAATTAAAATAATACCTAAAGAGAAAAAAAACATTTATCGAAGGCAATGAACGTAATTAACTCTAAATTTTGAATCGGTCGTTAATGCAGGACAGACATTGAAAATATCGTTCCTATTGATCGACGAATTTAATAGGTATTTAAACAATAATAGTCGATTTCATTGAAATTCAATTGGAATAAAAGCGAATTAGCCATTTCATTGTATCTAGCACATATTCCTTATAATGCACGTAGTAAATTAATTACTACTAATGGCATATATAAAATAATTCGAATGTGCATTTAACCGATGATATAACGCAACAGGAGAATTCTATGTATAATGAGTTTCGGAAATAAAACCTATCGAAAAATTGATTGGATTTTACGCGGTCTCTTCCAAAAGGTATAATAGAAAAAGAGACTTTTGTTTTTAATGCGATAAGTTATTTATCTCTTTTTTTTTCTTGTAAAAATCCATCTTCCATTGGAAATTGATCGATGAAACCAGAATATCTTCTTACCTGCTTGGTAATTTGCAGCGGCGCCTTGCCGATAGCGTCAGCACTCAATGCCGAACCGGACATCAGAATGGCTCGCTTGAACAGACCTGAATGTTATAAGAGACAGGAACGATTAATAACTTTTCTGCTTGCTCGCTGTGCTGAAAAAAAAAAACTATGAAGAAAGTGAAAACAAAAGAGAGGAAGAGAGGAAAAGAAACCGATAATCATCTTTCTCTTCCTTACTTACTTTTTTCTCTTCCGATCCCGAGGTGGAAAATTACAAACAAGGGTTAGGATGAAAAATCGCAATCTACTTTTTATCTCAGGTGTTTCTATACGAACGTGGTCGTAACTATAGTTTTTCTACTGCTAGAAAGGATTCACCTTAGTTTCTCCAAAACCGTAAGTTTAAAAGTTTCATTTAAAAGTCTCTTACAAGTTCTCTGAATTTAGGGAATTAATCCTGGTCGTGGAGTACCTACTCATTAAAATCCTTACTTGAGAAGAAACGATTAGAAAAAAAAGAAAATGATCTACGTTGAAGCATACTCGATGGAGAAGTTGAACTGTATATCTATAATTATTAACCGAAGTTAGGGGTTGAATTGGTCGATCGTGGTGATGTCAAGGGCAGCAAAGGAAAAAAAAAACTTTCTCGATTATCGATTTTTCGAGCATAAAAAATGGTGGAATCTTGTCTGTACTGTTCGCAAAGTAAGTACTTATGTTCGTCATGGAGTTTGGAGCGTTGTGGGTTGGGTGATGGGTACGGAGATGGTGGTATGAGATGGTGGTATGAGATGGTGGTAGGAGATGGTGGAAGGAGATGGGGGAAGGAGAGGGACGACCACAGAATCGACGAACGCGTTCATGCGAGGAACGTTTAGACCGTAACACGTAGGACCAAGCTGTGCTAGGAACCCCTTCCTAGTTACTCTCCCAGTTTCTCCCTGTAATACGTATGCACGCGTGTGTGCCGGTTCACCGGTTCACGCCGTCCACGATCTACGAGATTAATTCACGAAACGATTCTCTATCCTTCTCCTCCTCTCTCAAACCTATCTTCTCCAGCTTTCCCTCCCGCCATCCTAACACCCCCTTTCAACAAACTTCGATCTCGTGAAACTGGCCAACTTTAACACCAACTTCTCCAACACGTCCTTCTATTCTTCTACCATCGTCTACTCGAGTTGAATCCAACTTTATTTACATCTATATATTTCTCGTCGATAACGTTATTATTTTTCAATACACTTTCTCCCATTCGCGCGATATATATTCCAATTTCATTTTGATTTAGAACTTTCCATTCTTTTGAATTATATTGTTAACATATACCTATGTAAGACGTGATCAAGTATCATTGCCAGTTGTGTTTCTAATCTATTTAGTTTTCTGACGACGCCAAATTCTTCCTTGGAAAAAAGTTTACGCGACATGGAAAAATTCGACGCTCCAGGTTTATATGAAATTTTTTTCTACGTGACTCCGCAAACTGGAAGTTCTTTTAACGAGTTTTCCTGGAATTTACCTAGAGGGGATTAGTTTCTCGTTGAACGACACCAATTCGAGAGCACACAGTATGTACTGGTTCGTATACACGTTAGGGGCATACAGAAAGGGATGGAGTTGTTTTTCCAAAGTCTAAGTACTTTAATATATTTTTGAAATACGGAAACGTTTTAAGGGCGTACAGGATAATTTCACTCTTGTTGAACTCCGTATACGCTTTCGCAACGTAGATATAAAATACCACCTACCTACGAAAAGATATGGATTCCTTGGTTAGACTCCAAGTTTTTCGGATTCTCAATTTAGCATAAAGTATAGAGAAGAAGTCTTTCGGAAAGTAAAATATTTACTGAAAAAGTAAACGCGTACAAAATGTTCACAATTAAAAAATGATTACAAATTATGCTATAACGAATGGAATATCTTACGCTTTTTCGGTTTTTTACATAATTACTTTTTATTCGAATTAAAAAAAATAATCGTACCTTCGTTGTTTGCAACCGGACTGAGGAGAAGTAAATTAGCAAAAATAGCACCGGTACCGTGGCCAACTAAGGTCACAATGTCGGGATCTCCACCGAAGGCAGCAATATTTTCTTGGAGCCATAAAAGCGCTGCTATTTGATCCAGTAATCCAAAATTACTCGCCGCGTCGTCCCTTATACCTGGTCTTAGGAAACCTACGGGAAAATCACTTTCTTTTCTTTATCCAGTAACATCGAGCGAGTAAGTTTATTTCTCTTTACGTGAACCACGTTTTTATGTCTATATAGTTATAGTTTGAAAATGTAAAATTAATCTGTCGATATTTGTTTTTGCCACACAGTGCAATTTTAATCAAATTTAAATAATAAATACAAAATTTGGACCTCCCAGCTTTGAGAGATTTTACGGTATTGCACTTCCGTCCTTTACACATTTTATGCTTAGGTGTATATATTCTTGTATATTTTCACAAATTCTAACTCTACTATAATAAATCCTAGTTTCTCTCAGCTTCTCTTTCTCTCTTCTCTCTCTCTCTCTTTGAAAATCTTCCTGCAATTGGTCGCTATATCCCCGTAAAAGAACGTCATGGTCTACAGCGTAAAAATAGTGAACGCTATCTATCATCCACGGAGAAAGGAGACTTTGAAAAATTTGGAAGTAAGAAATAAGGTAGTGGAAGGCTTGAAGAAAGGAAAAGAAAAAATGCTGATAGATGCAAGAGTAAAGTTCATTGAGTTTACCGAGACTTGCACCCCAGTGTTTACGTTATTCCAAGTTAGGAAAGAAGAAGTATATAGTAACATAAGTATAGAAGAAAGTTGCGTTTTACAAAGGGAACCTTTCGACTGACCTTTCCTTGTGAAATGTATAACAAAAGTGGGAGCACGATACAAATGGACGAACGTTGCAATAGAGAATGAACGAACGTAGAGCCTAGCTGGTAAGTGGAGTGGTCGAAGTAGAAAAAAGAGCGTAATAGCGAGAGAGGAGAAAAGATATAAAGATAAAAAGAGAAATGAGCGTTTGAGAGAGAGAGAGAGAGAGAGAAAAGAAAGACGAGTCCGAAACCATAATCATAAATTAGGTTAAAGTGCCGGAGAAGCGCTTAGTAACTCCGCTTTAGGTGGTCTGCTTTGCTCGAGTAAAAGAGAGAGAGAGAGAGAGAGAGAGAGAGAGAGAGAGAAGGAAAGAAAGAAAGAATGAAGGAAAAAGGCGAAGGATAGAAGCTCACGGATAACTTGGCCCCTTCGCAAAACATGGGAAAAAATATGCTCCTCGAGTTCAGCGTGGTGGAAGAAAAGAACAGAAGCGTTATGGTATAAGAGCCAGTTCCGCGTTTCGGACTAACTAACAGGAAAGGAGGCTCTTTAACCTTTCGTTAGTTTGATTAAGCTACGTACTTCGTCATTTTCATCTCGCGCTTCTATCTACTAGATTTCTTTTCTTTTTTTTCTTTTTTTTTTTTTTTTCATTAGTCAGTCAAAAAGAACTCGGTGCGAAAGATAAAGCGAGTTAATTTGAGGGATGAAAGAATCGAACTTTAGGCAAATTGAAAATAGTATCGTTTATCTAATCCATTGTGAAAGCATAGTTTGAATTTGTTTGTTTTTGGGTTTCCTTACTCTTTGTCGGATTGACCATGCAACTTGGTCACGTTCAACAATACAGTAACAAATAGCGAAAATAAAAAGGAGTCGCGTATTAAGAATCAAAGACCGAAACAGCGAAGCGTGAATGTTAACGAAGCAGAAGTTCAGATTCCGTGTTGAATGCCTCCGCACACAGTCCGATGGGATTTCGTGAATTCGAATTGGAACAGGTTGTGCCTTTGGTCTGCTAAAAATTCAAATATCCTCGACGATCTTCGTAAATAGAATCCATTGATTTTTTTGTCAGGGTCGAAACGCGATACGACGTCGAAGAGTAGAGAAAAAGAGAAAATGAGAAAAAGAGAAAAATATCTTTCGAATCGACTCGACGGTTTTACAATTTATAGCAAAGTAGAAATGCAAAACACGTGCGCTTAATGCACGCTCCGCATTAAATCCGGATTTTTAAATGCACGCATATATAATATACATTTTTTATGACATATCTATATCTAGATACGTGTAAATATATACATGTTTGCGTGCATACGTAATGCCAGCAATCGTGTAAAAGCATATCTATCGTATGCAAATTTGGAAACACATACATACCTAAATTAAAATAAATATAGATGTAACATAATAAAGACATATACATAAAAGTTCTGCGTATAGTAAATATTCGTAGGAGAAGAATCTTACTCACCTAAAATGCCAAGCCGAAAATTGATGGTGACGAAAACGACGTTTCCGTAAGCAGCTAGGATGGTGCCATCGTATGGATTACCGCTGTTCCATTTGTAACTTTCGCCATGTATAAACACCATCACAGGATATTTCTTTAAATTTCTCTGTCCTGGAAAACAAAAAGAAACGTTGACTTTTTCTCCTCGGAGATGATATTTTCATGAAAATAAAAAGATTCCTTAACAACAATGTATCGCGATTCAGGTAAAAACTAGAAATATTGTTGTTAAATATTTGACGAATTATACGAATATGGTTGACGTATATAATATACCTGGCGCATATATGCGCGTACTATTACGATAGGTCGTGTCGTTTTTTACGAGTTACTTTGATTTACGTCAGACGAAAAATTATCACCGTAGTTTGGCTGTGGTACCGGGAGCACGTTTGGTTCGGGTCAGTTAGAAAATTTATATGCATATCGGTCGGCTCGCAAACTATTCAGAGTTTTCGATATTAGAGTAACTATAAATTCTTCCAATCCCGTCCGGAGTACGACAAAGTTTTCTTTTTCGAATACGATCTGCAAATTAGAGCGCCGTGGACTTTGGCTGTTTAATTTATCGTTGAATCTGTTTCATTCGATCGCATTTGCTAGTTTGTCAGGGGAGATCGGTAAAACGGCTGTTCCGGGGAACTTTAAATCGATAACGACGAACTATAATCGGATGACTTTTAGGATCGTTTAAATTTCTTTTATTTTCGCGTGGTTTGATTTCATCGGAGAGCTTCGACGCGACGTCGTCGTCGTCAAATTTCGCTCGTCAAATTTCGCTCGTCAAATATTCCTTCAAATTTGACCAAATTGCGTTAGAGCAGATTTTTTATATCAAAATATAATATGTAAACCAATAGCAATTGCGTAAGAAATATTTAATGACAAAAAATTGAACGCATTCGATTAACGAATTCACATGAAATGGATTTTAAATGGATTTGTAATGAATTTAAAATGAATTTAAACGCGTGCGTATCGATTCGCGCACGCATTCGTCCGCGTATGAATGTAACGCGTTATTCGAACAATTGTAGTGGGTCAAAATGAATCGTAGAATATAGTCTTCTTTATTTTTGTCTTCTTCCCTTGAAAGCAAGAAGATACAGGATAGACGCGAACAAATGTTTCGAGCATTTTACCGTTGTGAGAACATTGCGACTGTCACTCGTGATATGTTGGACCGAGCGCGCATGGAAATTGAATGTCGCATCGATGTTAACCGAGTCGACGAATGAGACACACGTCGGAATCCACTGAGAATGCTGTACATTCAGGTATTTCGATATTATAAAATTACTTACTCCTTGAGAGTGCGTTATTTCAAGCCACGAAATATTACGAAATTTTAATATCTTTTCGGAAAGAGCAAAAGCACGTACGAATATTATTTCTCTTTTCATCTTTAGCTCTCGCTCTCTCTCTCTCTCTCTCTCTCTCTCTCTCTCTCTTCCTAGTTTCTAGTCTTATCTCCTACGATATTTTTCTGTCAACAATTTGAAACGCGCGAGTTTATGGTCTCTTTTACATACAAAAATCATTTGGAATATAGTTCTTTTAACGAATGATATATTGTACATTTGATAAAAATCTATGAAATATTTGTTAAATAGACAGACTGCAATCTCTCGATTTAATCCATTTGATGAAAAATGACAATGCAAAAGAAATCGTTGGCTTTGCTATTTTACTTTTCTCGTGTACACGCATTAACTGTGTCAATTGGAAAAGATATTCTGGATCACTGTGTGATCGTTTAATCACGGGTTTCATTTTAACGAATATATCGAAAAGTAGAAACAAACAGAAAAAGGAAGAGGAAGGATATGGTAGGAGGAGAGATCTAAAAACTCATTTACTCGCGAAGCTTATCCCGAAGGTTTAATTTACGGTTTCAATTATCAACGACGGCAGCGATCGAGTGTACCACCATATTCCTATTTGGGATTGAACCACGAAAAGGGAAAGTTCTCTCACGGTTGCCGAGAAAAACTCTGCGCCCTTCTAAAATCAAATCACGGAGGGTGAGAGTATAACGAATCGAACGTGAGCCGATATCGATGACCTCTTGACTTTACTCTTCTTATCTTTTTTCTAATATTTTATTTTTCATCAAAATAATCTCTCTCTCTCTCTTTCCGAGATTTGTGCATTCGCGTGTGCGCGAAATATCATAGTAGGAGATTTGAAATTGAAATGGCAAAGAAAGAAATCGCGTTTCATTGATATATCATTTGATTGAAATGTTTTCTCTTCTACGATTTTATCAGATCACGAAGGAAAATAAAATGCTTGCTTTTGTTATTACGATATTTTGCGAATAATTGTAAATTTTTCTTTGTCCAATTTACTTAAGGAAATTTCAAAACATTAATTAATAAAGCGAATACAAGTATCATCATCGTTTTATTCAACTAAACCATCGCTCGCGATGGTTTGTTGGTTAATCGAAAGTACTCGTAAAACATCCCTTTTTATATTGCCCGCAAAATTGAGAACCTGTTACGCTGATGTCGTATCAATTTAGTTAGATCGCCAATAGAAACGAAGTGGGGAAGAAAAGAAAAATTTTTCTTCAAGATTACAATAAGAGGCAAGTAGTAATAAGAAGGAAAAAAAGAGCAAGAATGAACGTTAACAAATCTTATTCTATGGGTTAACGTTAGATGATATATAAAATGAAACATAATTTAAAGACTACGATATGAGATGAAAGATATTTAAAAAGTTCATTTTAAAAATGCAAAAGATAGATGGTGAAACAGGAGAGTGGGAGGGAGGGTGGTAGATGGTATCTAGGGCAAGAAGGACATAGACCTTTACGGACGACCAATCGAGAAATTTGCATGAAAATTGAAAGGCAAATCGGTGCGTTCTGCATAAAATTGATGTATCGAGAATCATGGCCGTAGGTAGGTATTTTCATGTCGTGCTGGTTGGTCGCAGACTGTTTTCTGGAGTAGGAAACCGATAGTATAAATCACTCGACGACAACCTAATCTGTATCCCTAATAAATGGAAGAAATTGTAGCTTTATTTTTTTCTTACTTCCTCAGTTTTTCCGATCAGTTTTCGAACAAATGATAAATAATGCAGAATATGCATCTATAAAAAGATCAAGTGAAATAAAATCGAATAAAGGAACGTAATAAAATCAAAGACAAAGTATGGAATATTTTTATATATTATAGATGAAGCAAATATATTGGTAGACACGTCCAATATGCTCATCATTATTTTTTTTGCAAACTCAAATAAGTATAACAAATTTAATTGTGGAAAAGTTCAAATATTATAGTTCAAATATTACAGTTCCATTCGTTTAAAAACGAATACCAGGATGGAAAGTCGTAAAACGGGAAGAAAAATCGTTGCTTGGCTATTTTCCAAGTATTTGACACATTGTAGAACGTGCCAAACGTTTTTAATACGATTCTTTTTCCTTAAAGAGAAGAATAATCTCGTAAAAGGGGAAGTTCGCAATTTGATCAGGGTGCTGTCATCTTTGGAACTTCGTCTGAAACTTTATGCCGAGAGTGTTTTCAAAGCTACAGTTTAGATGGCGTTAGGTGTATCGTTTTACTATTTTTATTTCGAACAACTTACCCCTAATTTTCAACCCCTAACGAAAGTTTAATGTGTTTCTCTATATACCTATTGTTAATATTACAAATATTACATTTATCGATCAAGAAACTAATTCATTTAATCTTCTATCCTCATACATATAACAATATATAAGATTATTTTATACTAGAATAATAATTATTATATATCAACGTAAAAAAAGAAATCTATCATTCTCATGGAGAATATACGAATAAAATAGAAGAAGATTCCAATAGAAGAAAGTATCGTTTTTCAATAATTTGCTATAAACGATTTCTTTCATATAGATATAGGCATTCTTTGGAATTTATATTCGATTCGATCGTATCAGATTTCATACGTGTAATTGCAATATATTGTAATTTGTACATTTTTAGATATTGCTTTCGGTAAAATTTATTGGCTCGGTAGCGCACCAAGCCCTGTCGAATTTGATGAACCTGCCATGAAGGCACGTAATATTAACGGAAAACAAGAAAGAAAAAAAAGGTAAAAAACATAAAAAAAGAAAAAAAAATACCAGCTGAAAGCATAGGTGGAGAACGACACGTCCTCGTGAATTCTCTCAGCTTTATCAATTCGACGTGATACTTTTTCAATTTCCACTCGAGTTTTGTACTCGACCGAAACTGTTTTGTCTCTCCTTTTTGTTTTATTTTTTGTTTTATTTCTTTCTTCCTTTTCCATTTTTTCTTTTTTTGATCACGATCGAACGTATGACGTCGTCGACGATTTATTAGCCGTTCGCAATGAATTTTCGCGTTCGCGTTTAAACGAATGAAAAAGTCGTAAATTTTCGTTTTAAGTTCTAATACTCACTAGGTAAAATCCTTTCGAATGAACTGTAAGCGTCGGATTAATTATCTTTCTGACATTTCAAAGATATGTTTTACAATACCGATAAGTACCTATTATATTTCGAAAATTGTAACTGCGAGCTTTCGTATTTTAGCCTTGTTAAAAGATATTATGAAACTTGACTCTGCGCGGATTAGCATCATTATTACAGGATAAAGTTCAAAGAGGTTGGAAAACAAGGAAATGGAGTAGCAGGTATTACTGTAAAATAAACAGGAGTATTGTTTTAAAGCAGAAATACACTCATGCATAAAAAGCGTTCCTTGCTCGCATTGAAACATTCGGAATAACGTTATTATTTTTTTCACAATTAGTCATATTCGCGTTTTGGATTTATATATAAAAATATTTAGACGAAATAGTATAGATTGCCTAAAAAGTAATTGTAATGGGATCGGTGGGAGATATCGATTAGGTTTCTCGCGAGCGCGATTTGCTTCCTCTTTTCGTTCGGTGGCCATTTTTCGGTAGCTATTTTTCGGTAGCTATTTTTCGGTAGCTATTTTTCGGTAGCTATTTTTCGGTAGCTATTTTTCGGAGAGATCGTGACCCGACGACGAGGCGACGAGGCAAAGGTTCGAACGAGCAAAGTGCGAAGTCGTGTCGTCCGCTTTTTACGAGCCAACCG